GCACTGAGGGAACCGGCACGGGCTGGCGGCAGCTGTGCCAGCCCCTGTCACCGCAGCGGGTGGGTGACTTCTCCCATGGGCTGCGAGGAAAAGCCCCGGTTCCTTTGTGAAGGCACAGATCGCCCGGTTGGTAAGCTCAGCCCCAAAAGCCAATCTAGATGCCATGAGGTGCTGAAAATAGGAAACATTCATTGACACGATGTTTTGCAAATGTACAGTAGTAAAACAACCACAAATTCTACCTGCACAGAGCAAAGACAAGATGGGGAGCTTCCCTTTTTTTTGAAGCACACACATTTAACATGGGTACAGCTCTGTCCCCTGCACAGCCTTTTGGCAGTGATTTCTGTTTACACATCCGAGGGTCATATCTGGTGAGTTATTTGCCACATGAACACGGTTGGGAAGAGAAACGGGTGTGAAAGAACCACGTCTGCTTTTACCTGTCCTCCTCTGGGAATCGCAGAGATTCCCTTTTGCTTCATTAGTCCCCCTCAGGCTATGGCCTTACAGAATCTGTCCGCTATGGGAAATGGATGCTCTGGGCCTTGACCTGCTGCGATGCAGCCTGCGGCCTAACAGCTCTCCTCAGAGGGCTTCTTGGTGCCTTGAAGGATCAGTGCTGAAGCAGACGCCCTCTTCTGATGCCGCCACTTGGCCCGCCGGTTTTTGAACCAAACCTAGAAAGTGCAAAACAAGAAAAGAAGAACTTTGGCATTCCATGTGTTGCTTGGACGGGGGCAGGCAGTTACGCTCCTGGGCTGCACTGTGTAAGCTTTAGGATACTGCAGTGTATTTCCCAGTATAAAAGTTTTTACGAAATCTAATCAGTCCCTCCTCTGCAGTCCTGCTCAGGTTTATGTAAGGGGCACAAGAGAGCTGAATTTTCCCCCATTGCAAATTCAGAAGCCACACAGGTCTCATAAATAACGAATATACACACTTGGGCTTAGCGGATGAGCAGAACTGGGCACCTCTGTGTGTTTGTGTAGGTGAACCTGGAAGAGACAGAGCGAGTGAGTTTACAGGACTGGATACTGGAACAAATCGTTCCAGCAGACCTGTTTGCGATCACACCTAAGCTGTATTCTGTCAAATACCCAAGAATGTTTTTAAAATGAGGCCCTGGGTCTGAAGCTACCAAAAAACTCAGTGCAATGCCCCCGGCTGTGTTCTTGGGGTTGGGTTGCAGCAAACAGCACCTCAGCAAGCGGCAGGATCTCACCTCCACCCTCTCCTCCTTCAGGTGGATGCGGTTTGCCAGGTGCTCGCGGGTGATGACGTCCGGGTACTGGTTCTGGTGGAAAAGCGTCTCCAGGGCCTGCAGCTGATCCTCAGTGAATATGGTGCGATGCCGGCGCGTCCGCCGCTGGATCTGGTGGAAAGTCTGCAGCTCGCTCGGGCTCCCCTGGGGACCCTTGCAGACCCTGACCGCCGACTGGAAGAGCTGCATGGGCCAGGGGAACCGGGCGTCTGCAAAGGGAGAGGTGCAGAGGCAGCATTAGGGCCGGGGGGCTGAAGCACCCATCCTGCCCCAGGAAGTTCAGGCACAAATTGCATCCACGCATGTGGCTTGGAAGGAGGCAGAGAGCTGGTGACAAGCTGTGTGATTACCATGCAAGCGAGAGAAGGACTTAGGGCATCACTTCGAGAGAAGTGTGCAGGCAGGGAGCACTGGTTGGGTTTTCCTCGTTTACTTCTCAACTGCACTGTGCCCAGCTCCAGAAAATGAGGGGAAATTCACAGCCCGGCTCAGAGCTGTGTTTCGATCCTAACGCCAGAGATTTCTGAACTTTCACAATGCTCTTGAACTACATTTTTAAGAGTTTGCTACTTTACTTTTTTTTTCCATAGATGCAGGCATTTTGCTAGGTGTAGCCCAAAACTCTTTTCCTTAAGGGACAAGTGTGGTTCCCCAGGGCTGGCGCTGTCAGGAAGCACAGGCACAGCTCTGTGTTTGGGCAGCATTACCACAGGGCCCCACACTCCACAAAGAACTCCCACCCCTACAAGCATCATCGACTCAAGTGTTTGACAATAAAACAGGAATTTACAGTAAAAAATAGTCTCTGGTGCTTTTAAAAACCTGGTAGCTTTGCTGGTAAAAGTGCCCGCTCTTAGGAGCTATGCTGAGAACAGATCCTGCTGTCCCTTGCCAGAACTGAGGTCCAAGGCCACCATGGTGGCAGATCAGATGCTGCATTGTCACTCAACACTCAGGATTTCCCCTCCACCCGGTGCTGGCACCAGCCCCTCCACAAGCCCTACACCATACAACAAACCCAAGCACTCACCCAGCCAACTCGGCAAGTCCTGCTGGGAACGGGCACTCGTGTGCGAACAGCAGCAGCAGCTGCAGCCTGCCCCTTCCAGCTCTTCTTCCTCCTCCTCCTCCTCCTCCTCCTGCAGGGAGCTGCCTGGGATGGCCCCCAGCTCACACAGCCCCTTGGGTGTGCAGTCCAAAATGCCCTGCAGGCACAGTGGGACCAGGACCTGGGGGCTTTTCTCTACTGGGCTGGAGAGGATGTCCTCGATGCTGAACGAACACGGCTTCTTGAGGCCTCTCCTGCTGCTGGCGTCTGACGCTGGCTCTGAAGACATCGTCTGCCGGGAACAGACAGCTCACGCTGAACAGGGTCTGCTCTCCGTGCACTAACTCTGGAGTGGGGTCTTGCAAGGAAAAAGGCAGCTTACGTAGCTTTCAAAATGGACCATCGAAGCCATCCAGAACCTCTGCTTTGTCTCAGCATTTCAAGTGACTGTCATTCTTGCAGTCGAGTTTTTATTTTATATGCACATGCACTTCTTCTCCCTCTAACCTAGCTGCTTTATGACTGAAGCCACCCTAAATATATATATATAGAGAGAGAGAGATATAATCCCTTTGGAAAGAAAATGGTAACCCCCCCTATGAATAAAATAAATTCTAACTAATCTTGGCAGCTTTGTGAAGGGTTAGTGTGGATCTAAGATTTAGCTAATCCCACAGAAATGACTGGAGAAGGAAATCTGATTTCTCCATCTCGGGTGTAGATTTGAGGTGGTTATGATCTCCATTGTGCTGCCGCCTCCGATCCAAGGAAGGGGGAGGATAGCTGTTCCCAGCCTGGAAATGGACCAGAGGATTAACTCCTTAAAAGAAGCAAATTATCCCTTTCTCTGGCCAAATGAAAGCTTTCCCATCAAAAGAGAGCTGTCATATCACACAATATGAGAGATGAGAGAGTTCAGCTTAATAAAAAATAATTTTGAATGGTAGCACAGCCTTTGGCTGTGCCAGAACTCTGTGAAAGTTGATTTATTTTCTGCTGAAAGCAGAAAAATTGCATTTTCTCTCCTTCCCCTTTCCCCCACCTCTGCTGCCTTAATCAGAGTGATAATACCGATGCTTTGCATGTATCCAACATACTCTTTGCAAGGATTTGAAGCCCTTAATAAATTAGATTAGTGGCAGCTCTGTGGCATGGCTTAGTGGCACGTAGCCACCTCTGGTACAGCTGAGCTGCGCCCCTGCTTGATGTTGGGAAGGGGATGGGTGCTACAGGCACGATCCATGTGCAGGCAGGCAGGCAGCAAGGTCCTGCAGCAGCTCAGGCAGGAGCATGGCCTCAGTGCCATCGCTGATGGGCAGCTGAGTGAGCCCAGAGCAGCCAGGACGGCCACCCAGGGCAGCCAGGCTTCTCAAAGCTTTGTCAGTCCCATTCTCAACTTCTTCTCTTCAGCAAGAGAAACTGGGGTGAGGCTACAGCCGAGAGCAGTGACTCAGGATGGGAGGGGATGCCTGGCACCGACCCTCCTGAAGGCAAACAGCAAGACCTGACGTATGTGATCCACAGGAGGAGAGAGAACATCTTGCATCTTGGGTTTATAGCTGAAATGTGTGGTTGGGGTTAAAATAGAAAACCTGGGTTGAGCTCAAGTTGCTTAGGGAAGTTTAGACCCGAGTCTCTTGCCCTCAGTGCAGTTTAAGCCAAGGTGGGTAGTGAGGCTTTGGGAGCTCTCATGGGGAACACTCTCCTGCTTGGTGTTTCTGCGCAGGGGAGGGAAGATAGCAGTCCCATCGCAGTCCCACTCATGGTGCACTGAGGGGACACACAGGTGAGTGTGGTGAAACTACTCCACATCAGAGGTTCACTGCTGCCCTGCTGAAGCATCAGCACTTCAGAGAGGCCCTGTGGGTGCACTAACACCAGGGATCATCACAAACTGCTCCCAGCTTGTATGCACGTACCCAAATGCTGACACAGGAGAGGGATGTGGGGCTGGGTTATGCTCCCCACACTGTGCTGGTCCAGAGTGATGGCAGGGCTGGGATGTGCCATGGGCAGGCACAGGATCCACACTTTCTGCTCTTGGCTATAATAATGATAGTCCTGAAGCGGATTAATTCCTCCTCCCCATCCTTAACAAAGGACGCCTTTCCCTGGCCTCCCCTGCCCGTCCCTGCCTTCACACCACACATGCACTTAGCCTGTTAGGATCTCCACTGATTGCTTTCTTTCAATCCTTCCGTACCTTTCACTTCAGAAAAATGGACTGGTAATACTTCTTTTATCAAAGAATTATGGGATTTAGGACCCAGATCTTACAAAGAGACTTTTGATAGCTGCTGGTAATCAAATCCCAATCTGCAGACACTTCTCTGCACCCTGTTACCAGAGAGGAATAAAGGAAAGGGATTATTGATGTTCTGTTTACTGAGCCTCCAGGAGATAGGATCGCTGGGCTATTTCATATTAGAAAAGGAAAGAAAAATAAAACAAGAAAGCAAAAAAATGCAGACAAGGGAGGACAATATAGATATAGATAAAAAGAAAAGAATCAGGCTCTTATCATTTTCTTATTGGTTAAGGAGATTCCAAAGCCATTATAGAGGATTAGCAAAAAGGTTAATCTGCTTTAGCCGTTCACTTGTCAAAAGTGAATGTATATGGTTTGAAAATCCTTCCTATGGTGAAAGGAGAAAAATAAATCTCCCTTTCTCTCCCCTGCCCCTCCTTTCTGCAGGCAGCACAAGGGAATGAGAGCCTTAGAGACCCTAGAACACAGGAGCACTCTCCCTTGCCTTGCCCCTGCCTGGGTGCTAGCACCTGTGGGAGCTCTGGTTTGGCAGCGCTTCCCCCTGCTCCCTCATCAGCCGTGTGGGGTGGCTGCGGGGATCAGGGGGCAGAGGGGCAGGTCTGAGTGACAGGACTGTCCTCCCACGCTGCTCTGCTTCACCTGAGGTAAATCCCAGGCTGCTTCACTGGTTGATGTTGGCTGCAGTCGAGGCAAAGCTGAACTTGCGGCCTGATTTGGGCATCCAGGTTAATTTCTAAAGCAGAACAGAGATGGGCACTGCTGGCAATTGTTGCCAAAACCTCCAGGCTGGGGCCTTTCTGTCCTCAGGCACAGCACGCACCCAGGAAGCCTCACCTCAGCATCCTCCTGGTCATCTAGCACAGACCCTGGCCCGTCCCAGCCATGCTTTCCTGGGCTGCCTGTGTCCCTGGTTGGCCCCAGTGGTCGGTGTCCATTGCTCACCCTGGTGCCACTGTGAGACACAACTCAGGGGAAAAACAATCCTTCAAGGTCAAAACCAGCAAGGAGAACTTTCTCTATAGCTGCTGAGTGAAGCTGAGTGTGCTGTGTTAGTCAGGAATTATAGCTACATTTAATAAAGACACAGAAATCATAGAATCATAGAATGGTTTGGGTTGGGAAGGATCTTTAAAGGTTGTCTTAAAATTGTACCTGTTCAAACAGTTCAACCCTGTGCCAACAGACAAAAAGAACCAGACTAAAATAATTTGGATTTGATGATAATTAATGTTAAATGTTATAATAAACCTGTTTCTCTTTCCAAAGGCTATTCCATCGCACAGGAAGAAGCGGAGTCCTTTCATGGGCCGTGAGATACCAGTGATACCAGGGGTGCTGGCTAACGGGGATGGTGCCTGTGGCGAGCAGGAGGGCTTGGGGGACCGAACCTGCTCCCCTGCAGTGGGGCACGATGCAGTGAGACCCCGCTTTCACTCCGAAGCATGTAATTTCTATGTCAGGCAT